CTCTCTCCCCCCCACAAAGAAAGAAGAAAAAGATAAAAGTAGTCAGGAAATTATTTGCTTGACGTAGGGAAAAAGGAAAACCATGGCAGTTGTCAGGGCTTTTTTCTGTTGTTGTTATAGCTAAAAAAGTAGAAAAATATCTCAGACGTCGAGCACATACCAATTTTTTGTTTTCTTTTGTGTTTTGTGTTTTAAACGAAAAAAATTGATTCTATTGGGCTTGTGCCTTTACAATGCTGATCGTTGCTGTAGAACAAGGAAAGGAAAAGAGATGGCAGAAAATAGAAAATTCCTGACGCGGTTGCAGGCAGAATCCTTTTGGGTTTCGCCTATGATTTTATTGGTGCTGAGGAGGGGCCTGAATTTTTCATTTGCAAGGTAGGTAGAGCATTGATGACGTGGCAGTAAGGGACAAGTCCCAGCAATTAGAGTCGGAGTCATCAGCCCCTCTGGCTGAACTCGTGAACCCATACTCTGTATGCCTGCCTCCACAGAATCAAAAGCTGGAGCTGGGTGAGGTGGGCGCGCATACCCAGCTCAAGCTTTTGATTCTGTGGAGTGCCCAGAGAGGAGAGCCCAGAGAGGGAGTTGCCATCAGAAGTGCAGAGACAGAGGGAGGATATGCGCAACTACGGAAAGGAACAGGGGTTAAGATCTAGAGCTGTGGGACTCTGGGCCTGGTTCCGAGCATGCAAGCGTTGCGCGCCATGTTTTTGCAAGGGAGTCTGGGCCCGGGCAATTTTGAGCAGGTGAAGCTCCCCACCAATAGACTGGTGGAGCCGTCAATTGGGGCTCCTCCTGGAAGGATGGGCAAAAAAAGAAAGAAAAAAAAGTTAAGGTTCGTCTCCGCCCCAGGACGGCCAAGAAAACAACAACGACAACAACAAGTCTTCGGGGTCCGACGGAGTGCCGATGGCCTGTGGGCTGCGGGCCTGTTTTCGAGAGTAAAAAAAAAAAAAAAAAAAAAGAAAGCAACTATGCAGACAGCAAAGCTGTTGGGGAAGGCTGAGAACGAGGTCTGCTCACCAGACCGGTAATTCCAGGAACATATCCGATTTCAATTAGAGTGAGTTCCGTACTTTGTTTTTTTCTTCGTCTTTTATTGTGTTGGTAGTGCCTTGCCAACCAGGCAGGGTGCAATCTCCGGACTCTACTGACACCTTGTCACGGAGGGCAGGCTTGGCAAACTCTGCGTGCTCCCGACAAGCAAACAGGCACAGAGGTAGTGGTGCTTTCAGGCGCAGAGGTTGTGGTGCTTGAATGTGTGCCATTTTTTTATTTGTATTTTCTAACGTCACGGTGTGCCAATTTTGCCCTGTCTTTGCTGAGTTTCATTGTGTGGCATAAGTTAACTCCTGCGTAGGGGGGGGAATTTAATAATGTTTTTTTGGACTTCAAGTTTGAAGTCGGTGGTTTTAAATATCACAATCTTCTAATAATATAGCCATATATGATGC